CCCGAGTCCTTCCCGGTGCCTTGGGCGCAGCGTCACCAACCTCTGAGGCCCACTTTTGAGCTGCCCTGCCGCTGGGCCCTTCAGGCGGTGCCCCTGCCTCCTCCCCACATTGCAGGCCACCTGCGCGGCAGGGAGGGGGCTCATCCTCCCTCCCCACTCCTGATGGAGCGGAGGAGGAGGAGGAGGTAAAGTGAGGTGGTGGTAAGGGGCGCCCAGCGGGCACCCAGAAAACAATGCTGGGGTCAGGCAGGTGGTGGTGGAAGGGGCCTCCCAGCACCCCTAGGGGAGCTGTGCTTTAGGCCGGGTACTAGTCGGCCTAGTGGGCAGGCCAGCCCTGTGGAGTCGCGACCCACGGGGAGCACCAGCCAGGAGTGGCGGGGCGGGTGCTGACAGAACTGAGCTGGGAGTAAATGCTCGGGCAGGCAACATGGCCCTCAGGCCAGCAAAGTTGTCGCCGGCGCAGCAGCAACCACAACCAGGACGCCAGGAAAGCACCCACGCTTATCAAGGGGGGGCAGGGCTTGACCTGGGGCAGAGGTAGCTGGGAAGACGGGCGGTGCTGGGAGCGGGGCAACAGGTATAAAGAAAGGCGGGGACGAAGAGGCCAGGGAGGAAAAACGCGTCACGGATGGGCAGGCTTTGGAAGCGAGAGAAACTCAAGGGGCGGACAAGCAGCCAGAATCCAGGACACAGAGGCAGAGGGACACGGGGGGTGCAGTTAACCCCGTCCCTCGTCAGTCTGAGGCCTCGACGTCTTCTCCAGCCTTGTGCCAGCCTCAGTTCCCGGGACCGTCCTCCCTGCAAGGCTACCAGACGTCACGGCCGCTGGGGGGGGGGCGCCCGGGGTGCAGCCGGAGCATGACACTGTCACCATATCTCCTCCTCCAGGATTCTATAAGCTCTCAGGGGATGGACTTAAGCAGGCTGATGTCTTCTCCCCCTGCCCCAATTTACCCCTTTAACTGACTCTAAGCTGCTCTATACATTCTGGGCCTCCTGGACCAGATTCAGTTCTCTTTCAAGCTGCCTTTTTTCCCCTCAGTCTCTTATTTTTCTTCTAATTAATTGACAAAGCTGTACTTTACTGCACACCTGGGGGAGACCCACTAATATGGAGACACCCCCCACCTTCTCGACTTGCAGGTGTCCTGGTTTTGGTGCTCTGGTGGAATCTAGGGTGGCCAATGTCAAAGGTGGCACCTGGAGATCTCCTACTGTTGCACTTTATCTCCAGACAACCAGGATTAATTCCCCTGGAGAAAATGGCTGCTTTGGTGGATGGACCCTCCTGAGGTCCCTCCCCCCAGGCTCCACCCCCAAATTCTCCAGGCATTTCCCAACCCACAGCTGGCCACCCTAGCGGGATCACAAATGCTAATGTACACCATTATATTTAAAGACACTTCCTGTGCATGGCCTTAAGGAAAACCAGATTATTCCAGTAGATGTGAAAATAGATTCATTTCCTAAGTTTTGTTTCTAGGAGATATCATATTTTGGGACTAGTCTATTTATTGTGTTTTTGTACTCATAAGGAACAACACTGGAGATGGAAAAGAAATATGGGGACTTTGCTCCACTTATACCTTCTCCAGAAAAGTAACCCACCCCGCTTGTCTGGATATTAGACTCTTACAATGCCACTTTCCTGTTATTATTATGTTTTCCCTCTATTATATCTTTATTTGTTTTAGCAAAAAACTTTGTCTGTAAGCTCCTGGCACTGGGCTAGGGGGGATCTGTCTTTCTTTCCTGATAGTATTTTGCCAAGGACACTGAGCATTGAAGGTTCTGTATGGATAATAATCATTGTTACCTGTTGACTCGTACTCCATATTTGCTCTCATCGATGGCCAGGGCTTTGGTCATTGCAATTATAGCGCCCTGCAAGAGAAATGCACAACAAGTAGGGTTGCCAACTGTCCAGAAATGGCTTGGCCTCCTCTTATGCCTTTAACTACACTCTGATGTGAATAAAGAGAAGGGGTTTTAATGATATGGATTTAAATAATGCCTACAATCCAAGTGTACTAAGGGGCAACCCATTGTTCTCAAAGCCTGTTGGCAACCCTTGGTGAATACACAATACAGGAGATACCAATGTACAGTGCCTTTCAGTACTCTAGTCTTGATCTTGGCAGCCTAGTGAAGACAGGATGGAGGGGCAGACCTTCTCATCCCTCAATGTCGACTTTCAGCACCTGAGACAGCACCATCTCTACAAAGCTCTGCTCTCTCTGGACAAGAGTCTCTGGGTAAAAATGAAAGCAGTAAGAAATTAAAGTGATCTTACGGTGGGGGTCTGCCATAGACCACAAGCCAGGCAGAGGACTTTTCTTGCTGGCAACTTCATTATCCAGAAAGTGGAGAGGGAAACAAGGGGATCTGCTATCTTGGACTTGATTCTCATCAACAGGTAGGAACTGGTTGATGAGGTGATGAGTAGTGGGCACCCTGAGTAATAGTGAAAGCTGTACATAGCCAGACATATAGGCTGGACTTCAGGAAAGCAAATTTCAACAAACTGAAAGTTATGCTGGGTAGAATCCCATGGTCAGAAATACTTAAGGAGAAAGGAGTTCAAGAGGGGTGGGAGTTTCTTAAAAGCAAAATATTGAAGGCAAAATGACAAACAATTCCTATAAGGGGGGAAAATTTCAGGAGCCTAAAGAAGCCAAGGTAGCTCCATAAACAGCTTTCTAAGGACTTGAGAAATTTAAAAAAACCTTGTTTAGGGGATGGAAGGAGGGCCTTATAACCAAGCACAAGTATAAACAAATAACCATTGTTTGTAGAGAGTTAGGAAAGTTAAAGCTCAATATGAGCTTAGGCTAGTGAGAGATGCTAAAAACTAAAAAAGGGTTCTTTTCTTATGTTCAAAGTAAGAAAAAGAGCAAGGACATTGTAGGCCCATTGCTGGGACAGGAAAGTGAAATTGTAACAGGTGATGAAGAAAGGGCAGAACTGTGCAATTCCTACTTTTCCTCAGTCTTCTCTCGCAAGGGAAACGGAGCTCAACATGGCAAAAACAGAATAAATGATGAGGGAAGGGAGTTGCTGCCTAGGATTGGTTTAGGGGTAGAACATAAACACCTAGTTTCTTTAAATGAAACTAAGTCCTTGGGGGAAGATGAACTGCATCAAAGGGTACTAAAAGAACTCATGGATGTAATTTCTGAGCCTCTGTCCATTATTTTTGAGAATTCTTGGAGAACAGATGAGGTGCCAGAATATGTTGTCCCCATCTTCAAGAAGGGGGGAAAGGTGGATCCGGGTAACTACCGAGCTGTCAGTTTGATGTCTATACCAGGAAAAGTTTTAAAACAAATCATCAAACAGTCGGTCCTTGAGCATTTAGAAAGGATGGCTATGACTACTAAGAGCCAGCATGGATTTCCCAAGAACAAGTCATGTCAGACTAACCTTATCCCTTTTCTTTACTTTTTAGAAAGTTACTACTTTGCTGGATCAGGGGAATGCTGTAGACACAGTTTATCTTGATTTCAGTAGGGGGTTTGATAAGATCCCATGCTTCCCATAGCATGGAGGGAAATGACATCACCTTGTAAATAACATTTCCTTGAAGCCTCTATTTAAGGGACAGGGCATTTCAGTTTCTCTAGATGGTTTGGAACCCTACCTGAGGTTCTCAAGGGAAGGGTGAAAGATGCAGGATGTTTTTGCCTTTGAGGTTTAAGTGAGCTTTTTTTCAATCTGGTAATGAGAAGTAAGCAAACGGATGGGACATTTTATAAAACCTTTACCGCTTACAGACAAGTTTTAAACTCATGTATGAGAACAGAAAGCAACTGATGACTGAACTGAAAGCAATTGACAACTGACCTGAAAAAAACCAACCTAGCCTCCTCCTGTGCATTCAGGAGCAACTTGATTTACAAGAGCCGGCAGGTGGAAATTTTCAAAGCACAGAGAATGGAGAAACTATCATGGCTATCGCCATGCTGTGCTAACCTTCCTCTGCCAATCAAGCTTCTATCAAAGGCTCAAGAGCAGAAGCATTAAGGGAGAAAACGTCAGGATTACCTGGCTTGATGAATACAATACACCATACTGCACCCCTAAGACACCAACAATACTGGCCATGTTGATGATGTTTCCTTTCGTTTCCCGTAAGTAGGGCAGTGCATACTGTACATAAAAGAGAAACAGAAACAGTGTGCCGGATCTCAAAACAGAAACTCATGAAGCTGCCGTAGCTTAGAATTGTCCACTGGCAAAGACACTTCCCAGCACAGCTAGCAGAAATCTTTGCGACTGGAGACGGAAGGGATGAACCCTTTGGGGGCAAAGCTGGTCCTCACCTGTGGAGCCATGTTCTGTTTTGGGCAGGAGAGAACTGACGGACACAGGTATAGCATCGCACCTCTGAGTGCCCTTCCAGGTTTTTTTTCCTACTGCAGTTTCGACTCTGGATGAAGCCAGCTGCCCCCAGGGAAGAGGGGAACTCCTTAGAAGTTAGAAACACCCACCTTGGATGCTAAGAAACAGCTCACAGCATTGAGTTCCATGCTGTTGCGGAAGTCTTGGGCACACATTTCATCTATCGTTCCCAAATGACCTGTTTGCGAGAGGATTTAAGACGGAAGTGGGTTTCCCAGAGGCAAGAGACACAAACAGCAAGAGGGCCCCACCCCTGGAACATGCTGATGGATGTCACACTTTGTTTTGTCTTTGAAGTAATACTTGCTTGGTGTGAAACCACAAGGCAATGTCATCAGATTGTCCGGATGTAAGAGCAGCCCTACTAAGCCTGTGGCCAAGATTTTTTTTTTAATTTGGGAAGCCTTTTAAAAAGTCGGGGGGGCACTGAAATAAAAATAAAATTTAAAAATTCACATGGGGTGATTTCCCACAAGTGCTGCTCCGCGCTCACTCTTCTCTTTGGCCCGATAGTACGTGTCAATTTCACACAAGCTGCTGCGCGGCTGCATTTTGCCCCGCAGCTTCGTGCGATTTTCCCCGCGTCTACTCAATCCTGTTTTTTGAGGACTGAGTAGACATGGGGGAAATCGCACAAAGCTGCGGGGCAAAATGTGGGCGCACAGCAGCTTGTGTGAAATTGACAAGTGCCATCGGGGCAAAAGGGTGAGCGCAGAGCAGCGCTTGTGGGAAATCACCCATAGACTGAGCTAAAAAAAAATATCCCTCATGTAAGGGGGGGGAGGCCACCCATTCCTGCACTCCAAGCTGTGAATTCACAGCTTGGAGTGCAGGGGTGCACAATCCCTGCTTCTCCCCCAAAGCATTTAAAGGGACAGATTCACCGCTTGGAGTGCAGGTGCACAGCCTCCCCCCCTTCTTCCCAAATGTCGGGGGGGTTGGCAGGAAGTTGGAGGGGCTGGGCCCCAGGAGGCCCCACTGTAGCTACAGGCCTGAGCCCTCCTGGGTCTGACTAGTGGTCCCAGAGACTCTTTAACACAGAGGCAAAACATACACCTCGGATGGCCCAAGCTTCTCCTTGTTACTGCCCTGGGGTTGCCAGCCTACAAGCTGGGCCCCGGAGATCTCCCAGGCTACAAAGATCCATTCCTGAAATGCCTGCTTTGGAAGGCGGGGTCTGTGGCATTATACCCCACCTGGGTCCTTCTCCTCCCCAAACACTGCTGTCCCCAGGTGCCACCCCTAAGTCTCCAGGAATTCCCCAGCCCAGAGTTGGCAACTTTAGATAGTCCCCCTATTACTGATCCTCTGAGGGTTATGGGCCCTGGATATGAAGGTTTCTTTTCACCATGGTAGCTAATGGGCAATGATGGACCTGTTCCCCATCAGTCCTATTCCTGTACCAAAATTAGAACACCTACATGACCCAAGGCACCTTGGTGAAACAAAGTCTTATAGTCCCACTATCTGCGTCCAACTCGTGACACAATACCTTGCATTTATCCCTGGTTATAACAGCATCTGTTTATCCCGGGACAAGTGTGGGGCAAAACTGGGGTGACCTCAGTGTAATGTGGAAACAAAAAATACTCCGAGATAATTACAGGGGTGAACTCGTGTGTAGTGTAGAATGTAAGTTCAGGGACAGGGTAGAACCAGGATTTAAGGTCTAGTGTGGATAGGACTGTACTTAAGCCCCGAGTTATTATTTTTAATGTGTGCCCACCTGATTCTAAGGGCATGGGATATAAAGTGTGCCGTGGCCAGAGATACACTTCAGTCATTACCAGCCAAAAGATAATGGCAGGTGGAAATCACGCGAGAAGCAGGGAAACCTGCTCAAGAAAAGCAATATGAAATTGGCTCTCATAGAAGCATACAGATGGCAACTAAATAGAAAATTAAATCAAATTAAAATTCCTGCTCTGCCACGAGGGGCAGTTAATACCCTCACAGCGACCTGACAATTCTACAAGGGGTAAGGCATTTGCTCTAGCCAGGAAGAATAGTTGGTGGATGTGGTGGGACAGTTAAAAAAGTAAAAGAATGCGTCAAAACAAGAAAAAGAGGGGATGAAAGACCCCAAAAGAGAGGAACAACATCTCTTGGTGTCTGGATTAATAGCTTCCCATTCTCATTTCCTCAGCAAATCGAGAGCATTCTTTCTAATCTCAGAATAGCAGCTAAGTTTACTTTTGTTCCTTCCAAGACACAGTTAAGATGAGCAGAACACGTGTTGGAAGCTGCAACGTGGAACCCAAGGTAACAATACAAGCGCACTTCGTCAATCAAGTGCCCATTGCTTGTCCAAGACTGACTGACATTCCTAGGAGTTCTCGCTTTCTGAAAGACCAAGATCTTTGATTTACTGTAGTTAATAACCAGCTGATTCTCCTGACAATATTTTGCCATAGTGCAAAGTTTCACCCATACTCTTGTACAGGTTAGTAGTGCAGCGTCATCTGCAAACAATAAAATCGGCAGGTGACAACTATGCACTTCAAAAGGATGGAAGTTTCTATGTTTTAGCTTAAGAGGGAGGTCATGTAGATATAAATTTAAAAGATCAGGGGCCAAAATACAGCCCTGTAGGATGCCTTTAGTCACTGGGATTAGGTTGGAGTAGTTTCCAGTAGTGGGGCATCTAACCTTAACAAAGGATGTAGAAAAGAATGATTTAATCAGAAATAACAGTCTTGGTGGCATGTGCAGCTGTTCCAATATGTTCCAGAGATGTGGGCAAGAGATTGAATCAAATGCAGCACACATATCAATAGAACAGCAGGAAATTGAGTCAAATGCGGCACACAGATCATTAAAAGCTGTTCCAAAAGCTTCGTATAAACATGTTGTGTTATTAGGCTACTGTAATTGCTTTAGTTTCTTTGTAAACCACCGCCTGGAAAGCTATACTTCCTCGAACTCTTCTTTGAACAAGTCCATCCTGGCTTCTGAAATAGCAGGCAAAACCCTCACATCCAGACACAAACCTCCAGGGATTCTTCCCAGGCCCCAAAAGTTTGAATGTCACTCACCAGTTCCAGCGTTGTTCACCAGGCAGTCCAGGCATCCGTAACGTTCCACGGTTACCAAAATCATCCTCTGCAGGAACAAAGATGAAGAGACATCTAAGGCAGGGCAAGGACAGAAACAGAACTGAGAATGCTGCCATTCCAGGGTAGTTGCAAGCGGTCATTACCTATTTGGGACTGCACCTGTTCCGGGTCTTGGAAGCAGGACAGAGAAGGATGGGCAGCAAAGGAGCCTGGGGGAAGACAGCAGAGGAGCAACCAAAGAAGCGGGCTCCCTTGTGGGTTGGGGAACAAGGCCTGATCCAGCCTGGAGAGAAGGTTGCTCAGGCTTTTGAGTGTTCCAGGTCCTTTGAACCATGAGCAGCCTCCTGTCAAAATATAGCAATGTCTTGTGTACAGAGGAAAGAAGATCCTGCAGGGGGCAGCAAGTTCTAGCTAGAGAGGACTGCAGGGGGAAGTGCCTTCTTTCTAAAGGGGCTTCTCTTTGTCTGTCTGCAGAATGGTCTTCTTAGGCTTTCCTCCTGAAACTGTCTAGAATTCTCTGTCTTTCACCTAGCAGGGCAGCTAGGGTCACATCTTCTGTTTCCTATCCACTTTGTTAGATCCATGAATAAATCCTTCTTTACTCTTAATCAGTTCAGTGTCCCGACTGCTGTATAAGCACTCTACTATAACACCTCCAGCCTGACTGAGCCCAGAGTCAAGGAGGCAATGTTTGTGCTCAGCTTCTGAGCCTCGCCTGTTTCCAGACTCCAGGGCATGCTGTAACTGTGAGGAGGACTAGAAGCTTAAAGCTGATGGAGAAATTAAGTGGAACCCCGGGGCAAGGACTTAAGCAGAGGAGAGACACATGACAACATAGGTGATAAAGATAGTCTGAATTTATGACAGAGGACCAATAAATCAAGGGGAAAGGCCCAGAAGAACAGTGTTAAGGCCATTCAGACAACTGAGAATTAGAATATAGAGTATGGTTTTACTAGTAATTTCAGAGATGAAAGGACATTTCTCGGAGATGCTGAAGAAGAACCCCCAAAGAAGCATCACTTGGCACCCAGTTTTAGCCTACCTTGATGTCTGACTCCTTGCGAACATCACAGACCTGGTAGCAGGCTTGCCCTGGGCACCCAGAAGCCTGCAGGTCCCTCTGAATCGCTCGCCCCTGTTCCGCTGCAAGGGGGAAGAACAGAACAGTTGTCAGCAGGAAAAACCTTCCAACCCTGCCTTTTTTGTGCAGCCTCTGCAGCTTATCCCTCCCTCTTCCTTTCCATGTCTGCTAAACGAAGACGGTTGCTCCTCTCTCTTGGTTGTCTTCTCCATGGGGAGAAAGGCAAGCAAAAAGGCCTGCAAACTAAACAAATGCATTTGTTTTATTTGGGAAACACACTCTTTGGGCTTGCAAGTCCCATCAGGAACAGGGGAAGACAAGGGACTTGATGACTGGCTAGTGTACAGATCATCCACAGCCAAAAAATATCTGAAGATCCCACTTTCCATCATGTGCATGTTTCTCTCACTGCCTTCGCAACATTCTACTCAAGGGTGAATACAGGGGTAGTTTCGTAGAAAAAGAGCTAGGGGAACTCATTAGCATAACTCATTACAGCTTATCCCTCCCTCTTCCTTTCCATGTCTGCTAAACGAAGACGGTTGCTCCTCTCTCTTGGTTGTCTTCTCCATGGGGAGAAAGGCAAGCAAAAAGGCCTGCAAACAAATACATTTGTTTTATTTGGGAAACAAACTCTTTGGGCTTGCAAGTCCCATCAGGAACAGGGGAACACGAGGGACTTGATGACTGACTAGTGTACAGATCATCCACAGCCAAAAAAGATCTGATGATCCCACTTTTCATCATGTTTCTCTCACTGCCTTTGCGACATTCTACTCAAGGGTGAATATAACTTAAATTCCTCACCTGAAGAAGCTCCGCCCATGATCCAGCTTACTTTCAGCTCTGATTCTACTACCCTAAACCTCATATTTTCTTCATATTTGCTAACCTGAGGTACTGGAAGCAAGGGAGTCAGGGGTCGGACACAGGGATCCTACCTCCCCTGTGCTGAAAGATCTGCACTGGCTACCCATCAGTTGCTGGCAAGACAATCTGTTCACAGTCCTGGTTCTTGGCTTTACAGCTGTCAATGGTTTGGGGTTGGGGTCCTTGAAGAATGCCTTCATTCCATATTGTCCATCCATTCCCCCCAGTGAAGCTCTGCCTCTGAAGCCCTGCCCTGTATGCCTACAAAAGTAATGTCGGTGATTGTGAGGCCCCCTCCTCCTGCTGAGACCCCTCAATCTTATTCCCCAATCTCCTATTGCATGTTCTGAATGGCACTCCCTCGAAAGCCTAAGCCCCCATAAATGAATTTCAATATACCCAGTCTGCCGTGACCAAGGTAAATTCTATCACCCTGCCTCCGGAGGCAGGGTGCCACTGGAATGCATGAAGCATTTATGTTCCTCCAGCTCCAAGGGATACGTCATCAAGGCAATATGAATCATTTCTGGCTATAGACAGCTGGGCAACTTTAAAGTATCACCTATCAAACACAGCCATCGGTAAAGACAGCCTAACATACATCCACCGGGGATGAGCCATCAGGATCAAACCGTCATTCGAGCTTGGCCCTTTATCATTATGCTAAAAAACATCCAATGATTGGCCCATCTTGGAATGTCAGGTATTTCCCTACTAATCTTCCCACCAGACCTTGACAGCAGTCATCTTCAAATTGCCCAAATTCAATCCTCATATCATGGGCCCATCTTAACCCTGGGCAAGTGAGGTCCCATGTCCAGCTATGGGACCCTTTCCCATAAAATGACCATCCCTAGTCGGTGGAAGCTGTGTCAGGTCCTCATTCTACCTGGATACACACACACCCCCACAACCTCTTTGCAGGCTCCTCTTCTCAATACTCTGCCGCCTTGGACTTCTGCTGCATGGACTTCCCAATATCCTCCACTTCTCACCCACCTTGGATCAGGTCCTATTGCCCATCTGAACACCCTCCCTTCCCTCTCCTTGCCTCTTCTCTCAACCTTACTTGTAGTGAACAGGCAAGGGTGTATTGGGAAGGAGTGAGTAGCTTACTCATGATTTAAAGGGTTTGTTGTTTCAGTTTGTTCTTAGTAAATAAATATTTCGTTGAGTTTTAATCAGTGAGTCACTGTCCGTTTTCTCGTAGGAATCTTGCTCTGGAACAAAACCTCTATATGGATAGATAGAAGATCCCTTGTTTGCCCTTCTGGAGACCCCTTTAAGAGCTCAGTCCCCCTCTCTGGGTCCCTTTCAAGTAACACGATGAGCAGAGAAAGGGGCTTTTGCAGTGGGGGTACCTGACCCAATATGGAAGAAAGGTGGCCTGGTATAGCCCAGTCTCATCAGATCTCGGAAGCTAAGAGCAGGGCTGGTACTGGATCTCTGTCGAGGTGGCAAATACACATTTTAAACAAACCAGGGGGACCTGTCATGAGGGAGGGGAGTAGGAAAGGTGCTCCAAACTCACCTTCGGAGCCTCGTGAACAGAAGACCACATTGGCTCCTTGGCGAACTGGAGGGCAAAGAGAGAAAGGAACACAAGGCAAAACTCAGAGGGGCTTGGCTCACTCACAGATGCACAGCACGGGATTAACTTATTTGTTTAAAAGACTCAATTCCTGCCTCCCTCATACCCCCACTTAGGTCCTCAAACAACCTCAGAACACTTCGGGGTGGGGGGAGAGTTGTTTTCTGTCTCAGGAGGGGCAGCCTTCTGCAGGCAGATCTTGTCCAGAACAAACTCTCTCTGATGATGGAAGCAGGCGACACCCCCCCAGCCCTACAGACAAAAGATCTCATGTTTGCCCTTCTGGAGACCCCTTCTGGGTCCCTTTCAGGGAACATGATGAGCAGAGAAGGGGGCTTTTGCAGTGGGGGTACCGGACCCAATATGGAGGAAAGGTGGTCTCGTACAGCCCAGTCTCGTACAGCCCAGGCCTGGTACTGGATCTCTGTCGAGGTGGCAAAGACCAATACAATCCTTAGGGTAGAAGTCTCCAGGCTTTCGAGAGGCAAAGCTCCCTGAATCGTCAGATATCTGACTCTGTAAACTCAGATATACCTTGGAAATCTTGTTTCTCTTTCAGGTGATTCTGGGCTCAGATCTCACTGCGCCAGAGCCCTGAGATCCAGTCTTACTCTGGAAATATGGGACACCCAATGCCTCCCGCCACAGACTCACAAGACCAACAAAATTCTTAGGGTAGAAGTCTCCAGGCTTTTGAGAGGCAAAGCTCCCTGAATCGTCAGATATCTGACTCTGTAAACTCAGATATACCCTGGAAATCTTGTTTCTCTTTGAGGTGCTTCTGGGCTCAAATCTCGCTGCGCCAGAGCCCAGAGACCCAGTCTTACTCTGGAAATACGGGACACCCAATGCCTCCCGCCACAGACTCACAGTCCTCGTATCAGTCAGATTGCCACCTCATATTCTGGCCACCTCCTTCGAGAGCTTTACAACGGGTTAAAATGCAACAGCTGCAGCTTCACCAGCTATGAAAATAGGCATCGCCTACCCCTTCCTAGAATCTGAACCACAGCTGATGCATATTGTTCTTGTAACCTGTTTTCCATGCAAGGAATCAGTTTTGGAACACACACACACATATATAAGCTATAATTTCCTATTACTTTTGGTAACACTAGGGAGAGTCTTGTGGGACATCAAAAGGAAATGAAAAGTCTCTAGTCCACAAGATCCTGTGTCAGAAAGTACTACTTCATGAATCCTTTTATTTGCAGGAGAGACAAAATGCCTCCGAGGAAATAAAGGAGACATTTCCCTCCATCCCTCCCAATTTCTCTCCATCCCAGATTAGAGATGTAGGGAGCAAGACCTCCTAAATCATTCAGGCAGGCTCCACCCCAGCCCCCGTGGGCAGAACAGGCCCACTCCTCCATACCCACTTCTCCCCATTCTCACCAAATTCTCTCACGATGGCCAGACCAATCCCTTCAGTGCCACCATTCACAATCACCACCTTGCCCGGGTAACGCAGACAAGTTGCCATGCCAGCTGTTTGCCTCTGTTTCTCTGAATGACTAATATCCACGTAGAGCTTTGCCTATATAGGCTCTTGGGTGGAGCAGTGCCGCTACTTAATTGGTTGGGAGGAGTGTGTCCATGGCTAGTCTACTCACTGTGGGTTGTGAGCATGAGGATTAGTCCTTTCTGAACTGGGAGAAGAATAATGGGGAGGGGGGGCTTTTCAGAAGCTCCCCTGTTTGCTCCAAGGGATGGCTTCTTTGCTGAAAGCCCTAAACTGTGGAAGCAGTAGTCAGGAGCTCTGAAAGAAGCAAGTCTCCTTGGATTCCCATTCATGACCTTGATGCTGAGGATATTTCTTGTAATATGGGGGGAATGGACCTCCTCCCACCCATTCCCTCTTCACCAAAACCACTTCCTCATGAAAATGTGCATGCCCATACCCCACCTCTTTACATTCAGCCTCATTTCTTCTCATCTGGGCCCTCTGTCCTAGCCTCAGGGTGAGAGTTGCCAGGTCACCAGGTCCAACCAGCGGAGGAATTGAGGGGGCAGTTACCAGGAGTGTGAAGGAGGCCCAGACTACATCATCAGTTACGTAGTGACATCACTTCCAGCATATACCAGAAGTGACATCATCACACTGGGATGTCCCGGTGACCCTCCCGTAAAATGGCTTCTACCATGGAGTTTTTTCCCCTAAATACCAGAGCACCACCCAGACATTGCCAACATGATGACGTCACTTCCAGTGAATGCCAGAAGTAATATTGCCACATTGCTGGAGACATAGCCTGGTCCTTCTTCCTGCTCCTGGTAAGTCCCCCTGCCAGCCAGCTAATTGGCGGCAGGGGGTGGGGCCTGTGGCAGAGGATGTCCCGCCTCCAGAAAGAGGCTGGCAACCCTACTCAGGGTAGGAGTGTGGCTTTCAGAACTTTGCTTCACCTTGGCCTGGAGAGAGCGTGGCTGCAAGAGAGATTCTGCAAGAAAGCAGTTTGATTCAAGTCCAGGAGCACCTTACAGAGAGAGTGTGTGTCTGGATGTTTACACTGATTACTTTGATCCAGAGCTATTTTTGGGCAGGAACGCACAGGAACGGAGTTCCAGCTGGCTCCCAAGTTGGCCACGCCCAGCAGGAACTCA